ATATATATATATATATCTACACAAAAAAATCATATCATTCAGATACCGAATTCGAGCAAGAATATAGCTATTGAGCTTATATTTTTAACAATCAACTGTCCTTAGATATCCTTCGCCAAATTAGCACAATTATAATTGTATCGAACGTGATAATTTATGTAAAGTTACTCACCCAAAGCACCTGGTAAAAGCAAAATTGGATGTTCACCTGTACCAACTCTCAGATAATTGATATCGATTTCATTGACATTAACTTTTTGTTCCTATCGCAAAATATTCTAATTTGTACTCGTAACTTTGTATTCGTATTCGAGATATATGTGTGTGGTATGTTTTGTGTGTGCAATGCACCAGATCGTATCCGAACTATTTCTTTCCTGCTGTGTAAGTGTGAAAGTCATGGAATGATACATCATTGAATTCATCTTCACATAATATAAAAAAGAATACAGCATTCCATTTAAAAAAATTGAGATCGCTTTTAGTTCTCAAAAAAAAAAAAAAAACAGTATGATTAAAAAAAAGCTTTTAGATATTATTACATTGTGCATCAAAAACAACTCATGCCTTCTTTCATCTTTCTATAGCATCTACCATTTAGATATATTACCTCAGAAATACAGCCTTGAAACATCGAACTGAATCGAATAGCTTTTTGTCAAAAACAGTTTAGTTGAGACAATATATTATTCGCAAAATTACGATGAATCTTCACTAGCATGGCTGGCAACTTTCTTGCTTACACTTTACTGATTCACTGATCTCTTTATGTGATACTGCTCACGTGATAGTATAGCGCGAGATATTGAATTTACTTTAAACACTTTTCTCACATTTCAGTATGCTACGTAAATTTTTTCAAAATATCATAACTTCGCTTATCAAATATTTGTAATGTATTTGAATATTTTGAATTTCTCATCTTACCAGTTTTTGAAACTTTTAATCATTAATTTTGTTTATAAGGAAATTAATTGCCAAAATATTGAACTTCTCAGAGAATAATCGATATATCATGAAATTTTTTTATAACTTACATATATTATTATGTTAATATACAATATATGCGATAATTGATATTTTAAGCCAAAAATGTATATTCTATTAATAATATCATCTTTTTTTTCAAAATAAATATTTGATAAACCAATACTCTTACAAAATTATAGATCCGAGATGTTTTACAGTTTTTCTACGTTGCATTGTTTTAATATCTATTATTTTGAAGATGATTACCCACTTAGTTTGGTATAGCTTTATTCAATCATACAAATTGTTATATTGTTATATATATTTTGTTTTTAACAAAACAGTTTGCAAAGGTATAATAAATTCTATAATGTTAGTGTTTAAAATATTTATATTTTTTAAATATACAATAATCATGACGTAACGTCAATGGTCACTGTAACTCGTATGGATAGAAAACTTCAAAATATATCCAATATGTATACTAAGAGTAAAAATAAATAAAAATTTGTGGTACAAATTGATGATATAAAATGTTTAATCCGCATATACAGTCTTAAAAGCATGATACAAATTTCTATACATTATCAAGATAGATTGATTAAATTATATAATAAAGATGATCGTGACTAACAATATAAAAAGTATTTGTACGTCCTTTTGCACGATAGAACATGCAGGTTCAAAAAATAATAGGAGATGAAACTTTTTCTATAATGAAGTACAAAAATTCAGTGCAGTTTGTTCTTCTATATCTTATATCTAGATGTAACATTGATAGAAATAAAAATAATGAACGAGCCAAAATTTTTATAAAAATACACTTATCATGAGTCTGGCTGATCACTATTCAGAGCTCTGTGATATTCTTCTGTTAAATGTTTTTTATACTTTGTCTGGTCATTCCATAACTTTGCTGCCTGTGGATTGAGAGGACTCTCGTTGTTAGGTTCTAAAAGAAAAGGTTCAGCATTTACAATTTCATATATCTATCAGCATTTTCTGTTTACATTAATAAACTCACCACTAAGAAGAGATTGTATAGATAACAATATAGTACGCACGTCATATAAAGCACTCCATTTTTCTTTTAATATATCCAGACAAATATTACCTACAGCATCCACATTTGGATGAAAACATGGAGTAGCAAAACGTACAATTGGAGCACTATATGGATAACTATGGGGAAATTCTAAAGTTAATTTATATGTAAGACCAGCATAAACCTGCAATAATAAATGAAAATAAATGTTATCTTTTGTATTTATTAATATTATTATTATGATAGTAGCGAATTTATTACTGTATCCCTTGGTCCTGTGATAGTTCCTATCCATTTGAATAGATTTTCTCCATCCGGAAAGGCTGAAACACCTTTTTCTGTACTCATCATCAAAACCATGAGCTCCTTTTGCAATCTATTCAAAATATATTTTATATATTTTATCAATATCATAAAAAAAGGTAGATTATGAATAAATCTATTATAAAATACAGTCACAAATTATATGCAAAAATATTTATATGCAATTTTAAAAGGATTTAATATTTGTGAATTGTTTGCCTAAACATTGTGACTAGGTTATGTATTTCAACATTACTGTTACACTAGAATATCTGTTACGCGAAAGTTTAAGTAAAAAGTAAAAAATTCTAGAAGAAAGATAGACTAAAAAACGATGATGAATAAATAATATATGAGAGTAAAATCAATCATGTATTTTACTCTCGTTTAATAAAATTTGCGTACCGTTTACTAACTGCATGTTTGTCTTTTGGTATATTCTGTTTTTCCTCTGTAGCTTTACTTGGAGTATTCTGAGACGAATAGAATGGATTTATATTTTGTGCCATTCTGAATTGAAAGACACACGTGATTCTTAGAATTATTCGCTGCACGAAAGCTTCGGTTTGTGATACAACAGTCACTGTGGAAATTTGAATGCTGGATCTTCTACCAACCTTTCTAAAAACATCTGACTTCGAACAGCTGTTGAGAGCAAAGCGTGTGGTTTGTTTAATACATTTAGTTCAATCGGAAACATTGTAAATTCAATTACATTGCATCATGCTGAAGAAAAGCTGTTATTTGTGAAAAAATTATTTTACTTGATTTTCTGGAAAACCGAAACGACGTTTCTGCCATTGATTTTAGATTATAAGTAAACACAATGTCGTCAAGTATCAGTAAGTCAGCAAAAATGAACATTTTCAATACTTACACAATGTTGTACATTGTGTGTTGACATTGTACGTTGAGCTAACATGTGACAAAAATTTTAAAAAAAAATACAACTTTAAAAAAACGAAATTCATGTTATTGCGTTCTTTAATCGTGTTATATGATTACGTTGTATGATTACGTCAAGGTTAACGTTGTTTATTTACAATAAATTTTTCGAACTTGATAAATGTTTATAAAAATAACATACGCACTTTATCGTGTGAATTATAAAGAGAAAACAATATGATTAGAGAATTTCACTAGAACAAACAGATATGGTTATGTTAAGATTATACAAGAATAAATATTGTATTTATGCAACATAAGATTTAAAAAATAAAAAAATAAAAAGATGGCAACAGCACAAGGTACACCAGAATCTGATACTGGAAGTTTCGAGTGCTTTCAAAATTACACTGCACCAGAAGTATTTATTCAAGGTTTGGCTGGAATTGTCGATCAACAGGACGTAGAATCTATGATAAGAGCTCAAAAGCAAATGTAAGAATACTTTTCTGAATATTCCTTTCCATATGCAAATGTATCTGTCGTTTACCAATATCATTGTTTTACAGGTTGCAGAGATTTGAAAAAACTAATGAAATGTTGACCAATTGCAATCAGTTGTCGATAAATAGATTAAAAACTGCTGGCAACGAATTCAAAAAACACACAGCATTATTAGTGGAGATGAAGAGAGATCTGGATTATATTTTTAAAAGGATTCGTATTGTAAAGAACAAACTAAGTCAACAATATCCTCAAGCATTTAATGGTAAGCCTAATGATATCTTAAGAATTGATAAAGTACTATGAGAATTATGGCATTTTGATACCTTTTTACAAATGTAGAAGCTGTAAGGAGCAGTTTAGCAGAAGAAGTAATCGTTGAAGATGTAGACTGTCCTGTAAAACCGCTTGAACCTGAAATTGTTCCATTACCAAGCGCCTCTCATACTGTTACGGATCGAGATCCAGATTCTGATGGTAACCAAACTTGCAGTACAAGTAATCGTATTACCGTGCAGTAAATTTTACTTATACTGTGATAAGTTGTTCGTTGTTGTAATGATGGTTCTATCTTCTATTGTTTTCGTTTCCTTAATTAAATTTTTATCGAAAGATCATTCATCGAATCGAACGATATTCACCATTTGTACGATAATGTATCTGTAGAATCATTTCTTTAACGTACTTCTAGTTCAACTAAAATTTCCAGTAGCATTTAGCCTTATAAACGAATGAATTAAGTATAATGATAACCATTATATGATTTTTCAATCATAAGCGGAGATTTTCAACAATGTTAATCCAATTTTGATAAATAAATTATATTATGAAGTTGATCAGTAGAAGAAGATCAATTGATCGATATAACATTTTCAGTTATTAAATTGCTTACAATTAAATCCTTTATACTCGTGTAGTATTTGTCGCATTTGTTTTATTGCGACTTGTACACCGAATTAAATTATTATTATTATAATATATATATATATATGTATGTAATACATAAAATTAATGAAATTTCTGTAAATTTGAGGGATATAATGCCATTTTGTCAAACGGTTCGTCAATGAAACGCAACACTTTACATATATTTGGCGGTTAAGCCGGTATTACCTTTTGGTAGACAGATAAAAAGCTGAAGTTTTACTTTCCGAGAGTTGTTAACGTAAAACAATGTACATGTTACAGCCGTAGTATGTGTTATAGTATCGAAATGTATTAAAAAGATGTCGCGGGTGATGAATTACAATTGGTTTAAAACAATCTCGGTACGCTATGGCTGTAACGTAAGAGCTCACGTTGTAATGGAATGAATTTTAGAAATAGTACGAAAAAAAAAAAAAAAAAAGGGAGAAAATACAGATATGTTATATTTCGATTTTGCTAGATGTAATTTACTTGAATTTATTTCCCACTCGTTAGGGTGATACGAGATCGTTCCCTTTCCCGTAATACGAATAATTTAACTGCGCAAACGAAACTAATAACGACTTCAATTGTTGATGTACAGTGCCGGTTGAGGAGTTTCAATTCGCAAAGCTGCGGAAACGACGAATAAAGAGCAACGATAGTTCGTCAACGGAGAGCAACAACGATCAAAGTAACGCCGATACTTCGTCCTGCACGTCCGATACTGGTTAAAACATTCGTTCCAGAGTTAGAGAATCGGAAGACTACGAAAAAG